TTTTTCAAACCCACAAGCACAAAGAAAACAATTTTGAAAACAGTTGAGCAAGTACCTAAGAGCCCGTGGATAACCACGGATAGAAAGGATGCTAATACCTTCCCTTTCTATAATCTACCCCCCGAACCTGAGAAATATCTCGAAAAAAAGAATTTTTCTGTGCTTTTTTCCTTTCCTTGTTGGATAAAATAAAAGTCGGTGGCGACTCTTGCTTACCGCGACATTTTGCGAACAAAAGATGCAAAATGCAAACCAGCATTCCAAAAAAATAGTCAGTTCTTCCCACCGTACCACATAACTGGCGACTCTGCTTGGGAGAATGTTATAAGTGGGGTGTACCTTAGGATTAGTTCATAATGTTTTCAATTGCATGATTTGTTTGCTTTATCTTTGTGACTGTCAGGATTCCCACGTGAAAGTGAGAATGAGCAGCGCATGCTCATCGTCCTGGTCAACGACTCTGCAATCCCCTGGAAGTGGATGAACTTTCCCGTTACGAAGGGCATAACATTTCCACCAGTCACGTGAAGCATGCATGTATGGTTGGTGACGTGTCCTTGGGTGAGGAACACGTGGGAAACATGTTCTCCAATGGCCTCGATGGATTATGCCAACATTTTGGATCGTCCTCAACATAGAGTTGGATTGGATCGTACTCGACAGTAGACCAGCCGCATGCCCAGTCCAAAACAACAATAATATATTTTTTAATACGTGTGAAAATGTTAACTACTCGTAATAAAAAACAAAAGTAATACTAATTTTTAACTTTCTCATAAATAAATATTAAATGGATAATATATAAATGATATCAATGAATATCAATTATCAGTGTAAAATAATTTTACACGTTCGTTTAATAAAAACTACCATTTTGTCAAGTCATATCAATTGTAGTCACATATTTACACGTCGACAGTCGTTCGATCAAGATTGAACAATTTTTAATTTAAAATTGATAATTTAAAAAACTATAAATTAAAAATAAATTTATGTTTTTGAACTTTACGATCAAGATCGAAAGACCTATAAAATTTTACCTCTGTGAATGTGACAAAAAGTGTGGATGAATTGACTTGTCACAAAAAAATGCAATTTCCTTTTCTACCCCTATGTCTTCTCACAAACTCTTGGTGAAAAACCCAAAACCATCCATAGAGTTCAGAGATGCATCTCCGGACCCACTCATTCCCCATTATACTTAATTTTAGTTCGGAGATGCATCTCATAAATTATATCTGATATGCTTCAGAGATGTATATCTAAAAATAGATATGATACTTCAAATGAAAAACAAAAATAGAGACAATATGAGTATGAGGAAGCTCAACAAACCATAATAACTTGACATTTAATTAAAACACTCAACATTACATAGTTAATTGATAATCAGAAATTTAACGTTACATATATTTATAAACGAGTAGTTTAGGACATCACAACATGTTGATAATATCTTCGACAGGTCTTGCAATCTTCACATCCAGTTCAATCAAATCCTTTGTTGCATAACAATAAAAAGTACTCCACACAACCTCTTGATCAGTGGTTTGTCCACCTTTATTTATAATTGATTTTTGTTATCCTTTCTTCATTTTTTTCAAGTGTTTCATTTCATTCTTCTTTATTTTATGTGTTGGTTATGTAGTTTGTTGTTTTCAGGTTAAATCATGGTAAATCGATGCAAATCTCAGAGTTTCGAAAGAAATGCAAATATCCACCTACAGGAGGCCTGACACGATTGAAGATTAGAGAAGTCAAGGTTTTTGGAGAGCGGAAGATTTTCATGCGCGGAAGCAATTGAAGATCAAAGTTCATCCCAATCCTTGTAACGTCTATATTTTGTCTTGTGATTATTTTGAACAATATGAGTATCTAAAATCCCAATGCTAGGGGGTGTCCCTAATTTGAATTTGTAATGATTATGAATTCCTGAGTTCTTTAATAAAGTTATTTTCTTATTCAATTTAATCATGCAACATTTTTATGCTTTTCTGATCAAACCAATTATAATTGATTTACGGTTAACAACCAACTGGATCGTGGTTGTTAAGATTTTTGTACAATTAGGTTATAATAGATATCACCTAGGACTAGGGATACCCTATAGTTACCAGATTTAACCCTTGATAAAATAAAGGTTTGACTCCACGAGATATCTCTAAGTACTTAGGATTTAGATGGATGAATAATAGTTTTCTTACTAAGGACTTAGGGAAAATAGTCTAAAGGGGCGGTAGTTGAAGGTAATGATCTTGTTGAAGAGATCAATAGTAAAGGTTATTAAAAGATCAAATCACACACCTACCCATAGCATGCTCCTCATATATGAGAAAAAGCCTTAATTTACATTCTGTTTATTTTTAATTTTTGTTAAGTGACAATTTCCAAACCAAAACCCCAATTCAAGTTTTATCTAATTGAACCACAAATTGAACTCAATACTGATACACAGTCCTTGAGATCAATACTTTGGGATTCCCCATTATTACTACACTGGAAAAATAACACACTTGCTATTTTTCCTATCACCTATAAATATGTATCATTCTTCAGTTCGAAGTTGGTGAACTATATCTTTCCGTCGTTGTCAAACGAGGATGAACAATATACGATCTTGACAACTCGTCGATTTTCTAGATATTACGGGAGAGTATTCAGTTTGGATATCAAGTAGGCGAGAGTTATGTCCTCGCATACCCTAAACTGAAGTAACAACTTCTCAACATTGGAATACACAAATGCAAGATGGAGATATGTATTCATTTTTTGATTTTGGATGTTTTTATAGAAAATATGGGATGAGAGACACCCTATTTATACAAGTATTGAATCACTTTGGACCTTATAAACCTTATCATGTCATCAGAGCACTTTTCAGAAATACATATTCGGATAAACCCTAGAATTACGTAAAAGGGTATATTCAGACGTGCACATCCAAAAAAGTTCCATGTTGTTTTTTTATAATTAAAATGGGGTTTATCCATACATGCATATATAGAATCAATCCTGAACCGAAAATATACCAGAAACTTAGAAAACACAAACAAAAGCTGTAAACCACAAAATGTGTAAACATAAACAGTCGACACTTACGATATAATTATTTAATATATATTATTTGTGTATTAAATTGTATCAATATTACATCGTTGACGATAATAGATTCAAAAAGTGTATCAATTAAAATCTAAAATGCATCAAAAGATGCATCACCACATAAATCTACGACTGGTTTCTCCTTTAAATTTTCCTTATTTGATTCTCTTTAAAGCTCATTCAATTTGCTGAACTCTTCCATCTCTTCCAGAAATTGATCAGACCAAGTTTATGTCTCTTTTGTAGAATGTGTCGTCCACTCCAACGATGTACTTAGTATATGACACCCCTGTTTCAAATAAATCTCAACAAAATGTATCGATTTTGAAAGTCACCCTATACACATGATGTATGCAGAGGGATCTTTAGGTGGGCTACTCCGAAGTGGAAAAAATGTCCCATAAACTATATCTTGTCCGAAAAAATGTACTTGCCCGAAGTGGAAGACATGTCTGAAACAATTTCCTCCCCCTCCGGTTTAAGGAGACATACGATGGGATGACCGACTAGCTTGATTTACAAGACATGATTATGTAAACCAGAGATCAAATTAAATTTCCATGTATCATCCACTTTATGTTATCCGCACAATTTAAATGAGCACTCACATTTTCTCGATTTGGTGTCATCACATTTTAACTTCCTAATTGGTGGAACGTACGTGCCTCTTCTCTCACATCTCATGGTTATAAATGTTTTCCTTCGGTTAGAACCATTGTTAAACCTTCTGATTACAATGCCAAACCCCAATTTCACGGGCTCCATGCAGACTCATTCAAGCATATGTTCACGAACAATAAACAATTATTCATTTGTAAATTTTTGACCAACATCAATCTCGACATCAACCGGTCTAGCACACGGTTTAACACCCCCACTCACCTCATCTAGTTTAACACCATCCTTCACCTCATCGAGCTTAACACTATCCTTCACTTCATAAGGTTTTACATCATTACTTGCAACAACTTTGGAAAACATATGCGGCTGCACCATATCTTATACGAAACAAAACAGAAAAATGATTTGAAAAAATCACAATAACAGGTAAATTGAGAGATGCTGCTCTGAAACACATAATAAGTAATTCAGAGATGCATCTTCAGACTCAACATTCATTTTTTCATCTCAAGAATCAGATTAATGCAAGCAATCAGGTATGAAGTGAATGAACTTTACCTTAAATTGCAAATTCTGTTGCTCCATTTGATATGGAAAAACATAATAATGATGATTTGAAGTCGAAAAGTTGATTGAAAATGAACTTTTTATAAGAGTTTTGGGTCATGGAGGAGGTATGAAGTATGAGAGAGATGATCATGCAAGGTGGTGATAGATTCAAATTCCCGCTTGACATTTTCGGAGATGCATCTCCGAAAATTTCATTAAATAATTAAATGATAAATTTCAATGAAAAACACTTTATAAATAAATTCAAAAATATTTTCAGAGAAGCATTTCTAAATTAAATTTTAACACTAAATAATTCATGATACGTCCGAAGATACATTTTCAAAAATATCTAAAAACATTTTAAAATTTTCAGAAGAGAAATTGCCAAACTATGGGAGGAAAGAAATTGACCATCTTAAAACAAATTGACGATGTTAAAAAAAGCATGAGCACCGTTTGGAATTTTCTGAGTAATTATACCCAATAGAAATTAGCCAAATCATGTATCAATGAGCCAATAGAAATAAGCCACATCAGGACAAAACACGTGTTTTCAACAAAACATATACAAGCAGCGGTAAATGAAAATAAATAAAATAAAAAACACAACGCACAAAAACCCCGAACCCAATTCATCACCATCATCCTCTGAATCAAACTCGGATCTGAAAATTACGCTCCATTATTATTATTTATAAGTTTTTGCGCCACTAAAGAACTTGGCCATGGCTGCGCCATTTTTCTCAACGCCTTTTCAGCCTTATGTTTATCAGGTAATTACACCAAATTTTCACCTCTGTTAACCTAGATTCTGTAACGGCTTTCATGAAATTGGACTGTTCCTGAATTTTCTGAAATTGATTTAGGTTTTGCAATTAATACTGATCTTTAGTTAGTTTCATAAGTTGGATTTTGTATGATCAATCTCATGATGAACTATTCATGTAATGTTGTTTAGAGCCAGCAAGATGCAATAATCCCTTTTCAGATTTTAGGTGGTGAAGCTCAGGTTGTTCAGGTATATGTGATGTGACTCTCCTGACTCTTAAATGTCAATCTCTTCTGTCTCTCTTTTAATATTATCAACATTTTATAATTATGTAACATCTTTCATCACTTGGTTCTTGCAATACAGATAATGTTGAAGCCACAAGAAAAAATCATCGCGAAGCCTGGTAAGATGTTCCCGATTATTATTCACACTTGAGAAATTTTCCAATGACAGCATTCTTTGCATAACTTAAGAGTTGGATTTGTGGAACACACTTACCAATATTTTTAATTGAATCTGTATGCTATGACAATTGTAGGTTCCATGTGCTTTATGTCTGGATCAGTTGAAATGGAAAATGCATACGTTCCAGAAAATGAAGTAGGCATATGGCAGTGGTTGTTTGGCAAAACTATATCTAACATTGTTGTTCGCAATTCTGGACCGAGTGATGGGTTTGTTGGAATTGCTGCGCCTTATTTTGCTAGAATTCTCCCGGTTTGTACCTACATCACTAAATTGTTTGAATAGTGGATTGTTACACCTCTTGTTCAAATTAGATTTCAAAATCCATCATTTCTATGTATCTGACTGAACTATTTATGTGACTGTGTCGCCTACGTATTCGAATACAGATTGATTTGGCAATGTTTAATGGAGAGATCCTGTGTCAGGTATATTGAATTCCTTTTCAAATGGCATTCAGATTGATTTCAAATTTTAAAATTTGATTTCTATGGATTTGCTGGTTGGTAATCGTTATCTTCTAATCCAAGGACCAGAATACAAAACTAATTTCTTTTTTAATTTTCTGTAGCCTGATGCATTTTTGTGCTCAGTCAATGACGTGAAGATCAGCAACATAGTTGATCAAAGGGGCCGTAATGTTGTTGCTGGGGCTGAGGTGAGTTATTTAGGATAGTTGAGATGTTACCTATAATTTCCTAATAACTCAGGCCCCGTTCGGGGTGCTTTTCTGTTTTGAAATGGTATACCGGTTTTCTGTGTAGGCTGCAGTGTCTACAGTGTTCTATCATATTATCTACCGCCACATTTAGCACATAACTTTTATGTTTGAGATTTTGTTTGTAATTTTTCCTTAAAATCATTATAAACTTTATCATAGTATACTTCTCTAAAACCATGTTCATATTATAGGCATTTTTGAGGCAGAAGTTATCTGGCCAAGGGCTTGCATTCATTCTAGGGGGTGGATCCGGTATATTTTCTTGACTTGTATACATATTTATAGCATAATTTTTTTTTATTTTGGTTTCTGTTGCAACTCTTTCCTCCTTCTGGATCCATCGTCTTTAAATGCCATTCTGACTTAGGACTACCTTTGGAGTATTTTTGGTTTTCTTTATTACTGTACTCTTGTAGTATTTCTCATTGGATTGCTCTTTTGGATTCTCTTCATTGTTAGTTGTACAGAAAAATCTCGAGGTTGGTGAAGTTCTAGCTGTTGATGTTTCTTGCATTGTTGCTGTGACGAGTACAGTCGATATCCAAATAAAATATAATGGTCCCGCAAGAAGGACAATGTTTGGAGTAAGTAGTTGCTATTTCTGAAGTATTTTCAAATTCCACAGTAAATACTGTACTTGTGAACTATTCTTTTTTGTGTGGGCTCATAACATGTGCTTGGTTGTCGCAGTAGAAGCTTCTTATCTAAATGTTTCATAATAGTTCATCAAAATTTACATATGTGTTTTCATAACAGGACTTCATAAACTATTTGGGTAACTCCAAAGGGAGTTAATTCTCTCCCTTCCTCCTCAATAATTGCAGTATCCATTTCCAAGTTTTTATGCTCATCCCTGAAGAATCACTAGACTAGCCGATAACGTCAGTAGTAAACTTTGTTATTAAGTGGGTGTGTATACCTTGGAGGAAATCGAGAGTTTACATTACTAAACCTGCTAGTAAACTCTGCCTTGTGTTAGTGCAGCTTGTTTGTTGTTTCCTTTTTGGACCTAAGCTCTCATCTATGTTAGGAGATAAAGAACGGGGTAAATAGAGAGAACAGTTGGTTGGTTAGTTAGTTAGTTAGAATGTCTCCGGGTAGGTAAGTTTAGAGAAATTAGGGAGTACAAGGGTATATCAGTTGGATAATTAGGGGAAATAAGGATGGAAGGATTCATTGGTAATATAGTAGGGTGGGATAGGGAATGGTTTGAGGGAAAGAGGGAAGGGAAAAGGGAGGAAGGATAAACTCCTATCTTGTTTGAATGTCAACCCCCCAAAAAAATAATGAGGGAAACTTCAAAAAATTAGTAACCCTTTTCTCACACCGGAAGGAATTATCATAATTCATAACCCTTTTCTCTTCCTAAAACCCCATCCCAAAGGAATTATATGGTTTATGAAGATTCTTTCCTCAATCAATAACAACAACCAAACCTTATGCGAATAAGTGGGAGAATTCTTTCTTCAGTGATTCATAAAATTGTTCAGTGCATTCAAAAGTTTCTGTCAATTATCCATTTTTCTTTGTTAAAAAGTACAAGCGGTAGCTTTGACGAGAAAATCAATGAAGTAAAACATGTCATACCACACCTTTCATATATTAAGCATCTTGGATCCATCATCCAAAATGATGGAGAATATTAGGATATGTAATGCATAGGATTCAAACAGAATGCCGCTTATAGAAAAAATGTTAGTTTCACCTGAGTTGATTTGGACACAAAATTCTAACAATGAGGCAACTTTGACAAAAGATTGTGTAAGATAAGAGATAGATGGATAGTGAAGAAAATTATAGGTCAAACTATTAATAAGGATTTAGATTTAAATGGATTACTAATAGAAATTATTTATGATAAACCATTAGTAGCCTTTTTGTACAACACATAATAGTATTGTACGAATGGGAAACCGCTGTGTCTCTCTTGATATTGGATTCCCGTCAAAATGCATCTTAATCCTTGATATCGGATTCCTGTCGAAATGCATCTTAGTTTTCCCAAGACCGTTATACATATGATTGTGATCTTGAAATTACAGGGAGACAATGCGGTAACAGCTCTTCTAACTGGACCAGGCATTGTGTTCATACAAAGTTTACCCTTTCCTCGTTTCTCTCAACGAATTGCTAGGTAATCACTCTGCTATTTACAAAGTGTAATCATAGCATCGATTAAATTACTGCCATGGATTGTTCAATGATTTTATAATATGATGATTCATTGTCTGATTGATTTTCAGGGCGGTGACATCGCCTAACATGAGGGAAAATCCAAAGTTTTTTGTTCAGATCGCCCTTTTCTTTTTCCTGGCATATGTTGTCATTGTATCTTCATTAATATTGACAGATGTATGAATTTCACTTTTTAGTTTTTGTTGATTATTACTATAGGTAGTGCCTTGGATTCCTATGTCAATATCGAATTTCTTTTTGGCAGATCATCTTTGCCATTTTTTATAAATCTAAATCTAAATTGTATCATGTTTATCACTAAAATAGAATTAATTTTACTTCTTTAGTAGACCAGTCATAGAGTGGCTTTTCGTTCTATTATGAATTGTTGGATTTTTTCAGCTTTTCAATTCTATCATCACTACCAGTATATAGTTTCAAGGATATTCTAACGAAAATCATGAAAGTTTATCTCTGGCATTTCCCCCATTGGTGGTTGGTCAACCTGTGCACAAGGTTTTAGATGATTGACTTTGTTGACTGAGTATTCTTGAATGTAGAATGTTGCGTAGTTCTTGTTAGGAGAGTTTTACCTTTTGGAAGGTATGTTGCTCCAGGGAATGTCTATATTTGGTTCTAGGAGATGATACAATCAATAACAATTTTTGTCATGATTTACTTTGAATAGAAAGACTTGAGGTAAAGAAGAAGATTATATGAATATAAATGACGTAGGCACGAACGAATAAAACTGATGCAATAGTAATGAATGATGCTTCAGCTAACTTAACAAAGGTCTATCAATTACTACTTTTATGTCTATTAAGTTCATCGCATGCTAATATTCCTCTTCCATGTCATCATCAAAAGGTAAAAGAAAATATGCTAATCTATTTTCTAAACTCACCATCTATGTTATGGCATTTACTAATTGTACCCTTTTGCTAGTCTTAAATACTTTCTATCATTTAAAATATACAAACATATTAAGAATCTAATATTGATAAGTAATACGAAACACATTTTTTTCCATACAAAGTGACTTAACCAATCAAAGAGGTTTTATCCTGCCACCTCATTATTTTGACCTGACACCCTACAATTGTAGTGTTTTATTGTGATTTTTTATGTTTTATGAAATTTGTGTGTTTTTTCCGTATTTTTGAATTTTTTTAATGTTACCCGATTTTTTAAGAATTTTATGAGTTTTTACCCTATTTTTTTGGGATCTAAGTTTTTAAGCAGTTTTTTAAAAATTATCGGATTTGAACTTTTGGATTTTTCAAATACATTGGATATTTTAAAATTCTATGAATTTTTACCAGGTTTTTTTTAAACACTAGATTTTTCAAAAAATATAAGAGTTTTTATCGGATTTTTCAAAAAATTTATGAGTTCTTATTGGATTTTTCAAAAGATCTATAAGTTTTTACCAGATTTAAAAAAAAAGAGTTTTCATTGGATTTTTCTAAAAACTATAAAAAGTTTTTACTGGATTTTTCAAAATATTAAAAAAAAAACTGCGAATTTTTACCGGATTTTTCAAAATATTAAAAAAAAAACTGCGAATTTTTACCGGATTTTTAAAATACACCGTTGAATTTTTCAAATAACTAGGAGTTTTTATCGGATTTTTTAAAATACACTATCGATTCTTTTTAAAAAAAACTATGAGTTTTTACTGAATTTTTAAAATACACTATTGAATTTTTTAAAAAACTATGAGTTTTTTTTTATCAGGTTTTCAAAAAACACGGTAAAATTGACTCAGTTGTTTACTTGTAAAAAATGAACTATCAGAGTTTTCAAGAAATCCAAAAAATTCTAAAACATACCAAATTTTTATAATACATTACCAAATTTTCCATTTGCTCTTTTTTAAGGGTATTTTGGAAATATAAAAAAATAATCACAATCTAACAACTCTAAACAAAGAGAAATCCACATCCCTGAACTTAACATCAGTAATGGCTCACTCTTACTTTAAAAAGAATAGGAGAAACACACAAACATGAAAGTTTTAATCATATTCATGATACTGTTTGAGTCTGATCTAACTCATCCTTATAAAATGGATTTGTAAAGTGAAAGATGTCACTCTATATATATTCTTTCAAGACTTTATCTTCAACTAATGAGGAACTTGGGATCTTCATTTGAGTGCACTTTCCCACTAAAGATATTTTGCATGATATCAAAATTAGGATAACTTTAACTTTTCTGTATATCAGACGACATTCTCTAAGTCTTAGTGTGCATCTTAGTATTAGAGATCTTAGAATGTGTTTAGAAAAGGTTTTATGCATTAAAAATCATGTTTTATATGAAAAATATGTTTACGTGTCGACACATACGTGCTACGAGTAGACACATGTGAATTATTTTTAAAGCTTGTAGCATATGTTTGTATGCGTCGACACAAGGCTTTCAGATCAACACATAGAAGAAAAATTTCTTCTGTGAGTCGACACATACTGCTCAATTTTAAAGCCCGTAGCTTCTGTCTCTCATGAGTCTACACATGACCTTGTATAGGTCGAGACATATGTCAATACGATTCGACTCATGACTTACATGTGTCGACACATGCAGCGAAATGTTTGAAAATTTACATACTTTTCTAAACTTCTACTTTCTCTTTTTGCTTCCAACTCTCACACACACACACACACGCACTCACGCACATGCACACACGCACATGCACGCGCGCACACACACACACACACACACACACACACACACACGTACGCACGCACACACACAAAATTTGAAACTTGATAAAACCATAAACATACAAAGAGTTATCTTCATCCCCACTCTCATATCTATGCATACACACAAATAAATTACACATAATCATTCTTTGTTTGGGTGCCATCTAAATTCAAAGTTGATAACGTCTAATTTAGGTTGTTGAATTGTAAATTGGATTGAGAGTCTTTGGGGGTTTAATTGGGAAAATCCATAGGGTTTGTCCACCAAGATCAATGTGTTGATTTGAGAGATTTTGTACAAGATTTTGCAATTCAGATTCAGCCGAGTGAAAGTTTCGAAGAATAATGAGTTTGGTCGAAGGAGTAACGATAATCAGAGGATCGATTGAAAATTTTGGGTGACAATAATTTACAATTTAAATTTGTCCTAGTGAAAGCTTTGAAGAACGAGGTTTCTTGTAAAGAAGTAGCGTGAGACGGTGGATTAAATTGGCATTGTTGGGTGACTTGATCGAGCTCAAGATTAAGAAAAGAGAAAGAGTTAGGATCAACATCAAACATGAGTTTGTAGGATTATATTGCTACTTTTCTCTTGTAAACAATTTTGTAAAGTAAATATTGATGATCTCAATTTCAAACAGAATTGGAGGAATACATAGTCATAGCGAGGACGATTGGTGAATTGTCTAAACAAATCTTCGTGTTCTCTCTCTCTCTCTCTCTCTCTCTCTCTCTCTCTCTATATATATATATATATATATATCATTTACTTTCAATTGCAGATTATCGAATACGTTGATTATACAATTGACATATTTAGATAAATATTTTGTAAATTCAAAACTGTTTTGTTGAGTTGATTACAATCGATAAGATTGTAATTGATTTTTGAAATTAATAAAAAAATAAGAAAAATTCGACCAACATCAATTGCACATCAAGTGTTTGATAATTTATTTCTTTGTGTTTGTTGTTTTAGAATTTATTAGAAACAATTATTATTGTGTTCATATTAAAACGTGTTGTATGTGGAAATATATTGTCCTTGTTGCTTATCATTATCATCGCATATAACATTGATTTAACACATATCTGAGCTTTTCGATAATGGTTCAGATTAGACGATATTTGATTCAGGTGTTTTCCGCTTGCCATAGTTAACAAAGTTTTTAAAACTGGTTTTTCAAAAGAAATTTTTAACTTGGGATCTATTCACCCTGCCCCCTCTAGATATATTGCCTTCATCTAACACTTCCCAATACACCCTCACGCGTATCACTCTTTTTGAATTTGGTGTGTGGATTTAAATGGTAGGCGGCCTAAGGTTCGATGTGAGACTCTTAACATGATAGAATAAGAGTTTGACATAACTCATCCTTACAAAAATACAATTTTTTAAGATGAGAATTGCCTCCCACTTATAAAATATGAGAATCCCCCCCACTTAAATGGATATGTTCAAGCTATATATTGTCCAATGTAGGAATCTTAACGCACCCTCTTACACTCAAGAGTAGAGATCTGGAGCATGAAAATAAACTGTGGGTGGCCCAGTGACGAAAACATGCAGGTGACCCAACATATTTTAAACCAAACTCTGATATTGTATTAGATTTTGTTCTAACTCATACAAAATCGGCATGTAAAGTGTGTTGGAATAATATAGCAAGTGTGAGTAAGTGGGAAATAGTTCCACATTGGATAGGAATGTGGAGACTTAAGCATATATAAGTGGGAGAATCCACTCACCTATCACCTTAAGGTTTTAGGTGAATAAGTGGTGTGTCTCTCACAAATGTGCTTATTCCTACACTATGCATCGATGCTGCTCTTTTAAGACTCTATCTCTAATGTGAGAGTTGTAATCTTTCATTTACTGCCGAATCATCTTCTAAGCTGAATATGAGGTCCCTCTCATGGAAAAAAATTTAATTGAAAAAATATCATCAAAATTATTGTAATAATCATCACTTAGTCACCACAATCAAAATTAGAAATATCGACATATGAGGTCGTGTTCTTACACGCTTATATACTGAGATATCATTCTAGATTTTGGAAAACTAGAGTTTGGAAAGTAGTTAGGTAAAACAATAGATATTGTTTGAATATTAATAAGTATAGATGGAGATAGATGGTTTATTTGTAGGTAGTGATGAGGATTTGGTCGTGTTGTAATGAGAAATTAATGTGTGTTTGGGTTTTCAAAGTAATGAGGCTAATGTAATGAGTGGCTGAAGAGAGGTTTCTACGTGATGATGGGTTGAGGGGAAAATAGGCATGTGGCCAGTCAACATTTAGAATAACACATGAACACTTAAAATAACCACTAAAGTATACTTATGCCAACCTAACTATTCTTAGTTTTCTCAATAACATTGCTTAATTCGGTCAATCTTTTGAATACATCCATGTTAAAGATGGTAAAATAGATTCGGCCCGTTAACATGTCTGTTTTTTCCGCACTTT